TCAGAAGCACCTGCCCCAGCAAGCCCTCATGGCGCAGCTGTCTTGGCTACTGATAAAATTCCTGCTATATTCAACAAACACTCAGAGTTTCTGCAGTCATGCTACCCACAGCAACTACCACTTGCTCTTTTTAAATATATTTTAGTTGTAGATGGGCACAACACCCTTATTTTATTTATTTATTTTTATGTGGTGCCGAGGATCAAACCCAATGCCTCTTATGTGCCAGGTGAGCGCTCTAACACTGAGCCACAACCCCAGCCCACAACTTATTCTTTTCAACACTCTTCTTTTAAAAAATATTTTTTTAGACGATGGACCTTTATTTTACTGATTTATATGCAGTGCTGAGAATCGAACCCAGCGCCTCACACATGCTAAGCAAGCGCTCTGCCACTGAGCCACAACTCCAGCCCTTAACACTCTTTTAACAAAAACATAATGCTAGGTGAAGGGCACAGAGTAGTGGGGCAGACAGACAAAAATCCCTAACTTCCTGGAGTTCACACATTGATGGTGATGTAGATGGAGGACATAGAAAAGGAACAGAACATATATGCAGAATAGATGTGAGGTGATGATAGAAGCAACAGAGAAAAACACAGGGAAGGACACTGAGAATGCAGGGGGAGGGGAAGGAGAATGCCATAGTGGGAAGATGACATTTGAATAAGTTTCTAAGTACTTTCTCTCTGTTGGAGTTTCGCTGTTGCCCTGGCTGGCATCAAACTTGAAATCTTCCTGCCTCAGCCTCCCAGGTAGCTGGGATTGTAGGTATTTGTCATCATGGATGTAAGACTTGAATCCTCAGAACAAACCAGGGAAGAAGGTATTATGACCACTCTTATTTATAGCCAATGATACTGAGGTCCAAGATTCTGCATCTGGGGAGTAGCAAGATTGGGACATAAACCTAGGCACTTTGGGCCTTGCAGGGGAAACAGAGCAGTGAACAAAAATAGACACTTTCCCTCATCAAAGTCTAGCCTGGTGTGGTGGAACCTGGGTAGCTGAAGCTGAGGAAGGAGAATCACAACTTCAAAGTCAGCCTGAACAACTTAGTAAGACTCTAGCAAAAAGTATCAAAAGAGCTGGGTGTGGTGGCATGCACGCTTGTGACCCAGCAGCTTGGGAGGCTGAGGCAGTAGGATTGTGAGTTCAAAGCCACCTTCAGCAACTTAGCAAGGTGCTAAGCAACTCAGTGAGACCCTGACTCTAAATAAAATACAAAAAAGGGCTGGGGATGTGGCTCAGTGGTCCAGTGCCCCTGAGTTCAATCCCTGGTACCCTTCCCCCAACCCCCGCTGCCAAAAAAAAGTACTGAAGATAAAGCTCAGTAGTAGAGATCCCTGGGGTTTGATCCCCAGTACTAAAGAAAAAAATTCAATGTCTGGAGGTTCTAGAAGTTTCAATAAGCAAAGAAACAAGAGGATGGTCACATTTTAAAAAAGTAAAACTCAAAGGGCACGATTTCACATGCTTTTAATTGCAGTTACTTGGGAGGCTGAGGCAGGAGGATCACAAGTTTGAGGTCAACCTTGACAACTTAGTGAAACCCTGTCTCAAAATTTTAAGAATAAATAAATAAAAGGGCAGGGGATAAAGCTCAGTTGTAGAGGGCCCCTGAGTTCAATCCTCAGTACCACAATAGATATAAAGAAATTTTTTAAAAAGTTAAAAAAATGTTTTTTAAATTTTCAAAGATAAGTTAAATGGGTCAGACTCAATCATAATTGACTGAACAATTTATATAAGTATGGTACTTTCATATTTTAATCGATTATTTTTTTCTTATAGTCAGTGATCCTTAACCAAGTCACTGGCTTCAGAATTGAAAAGCAAATATAGAGTAGCTAACATTTACTGGGCATTTCCCGGTAGCCAGGTGCTATTCCAATCCCTATAAGCTGTATTAACTTATTTAATACTCATAATAACCCTATGATATAATTACTATCATTGTTATTCCTGTCTTACAGATAAAATAGGGGCCCAGAGGGGTTATCCATCCAGAAAGGAGTGCCAGGATTCTAACACAGCCATGACACTTATGCTGGATTTTGTTTGTTTTGTTTTGTTGGTACTGGGGATTGAAACCAGGGGTATTCTACCACTGAGCTTTTTATTTTGAGATAGGGACTCACTAAGTTGCTCAGGCTGGCCTTGACCTTGTGATCTTCTTGCCTCAGCCTCCTGAGTTGCTGGGATTACAGGTGTGTGCCATGGCACCCAGCTAATGTTTTATGTGTCTGCAAAAGAAGAAAAATAAGTGACACTACCCAAGTACAGTAATAACAGCATTAGTTAACACTAATAAGAGTATATGCAAATATGCCAGGTGTTATTCTAAATGCTTAAGGACTGTGAACTCCTATAATCCTTACAAATACCCTAGGAGGGATTTCCACATCATTATTCTCATTTTACAGGTGAGGAAAATTAAAAAAAAAAAAAGTTCCAAACTTGTTAAGAAGAGCAGAATTAATGTTCAAGCTCACGCAGTCTGAGTCTAGAGATTGTGCACTTAATTACCTTGTTATACTGCCTCTTTGTATTTACTACTGTTATTCTCCCATACAAGTTTAAGAGCTCACAAAACACTTTCATGAACACATATGATAAGGGCAATGAAGTATAGGGCACTTAATAAGAGATCAAGGCAGGTGTCTGCTTTAGACTGAGACTGGAGAAGGTCTCTCTGAGTAGGAATACTCAAGGATGAGACTGAGAGAAGAGAAGCCAGGCAGGCAGGCAGACTGTAGCAAAAAGCCCAGGTAGAGGATTCACCCACCACAAGTGCTAGGAGGCAGAAAGGAACTTGGAGCTCCAGAAAAACAGAAAGCAGGCAGTATATTGTTATGGTCTGAGCTTAATCAATAAAGATTATAAATTATATATTATAGGTTATGAAATATTAAATAATAGGATTATGTGATGTGTTATATAATAAATAATGTTAAGCTATTTCTAAGATGATAAAAAATTGTCTTTCTGCAGTTTGTGCACCCACCTATACTTTGTGTGCCCACAAATGTAAAGTCCCCAGGATATGGTGGTCTGTATTTGCTCTGCTAACTGCCTTCTCAGCCCCTGTACTATGCTGGCTTGCAATTTGCAAAATTCCATGGGATGTGGTTTTCTTCCTTAAATATTTCGACCACAAACAGTTTGAGGTGCTTCTTTCAGAGAGCCACTCGGACTCTGTCAGAAGTGTCCCTGGTCAGGAAAAGAGAGATAAAATTCTTTTATTTGTTTCAAATTCGTACTTAGTGTGTTTTCTGAGCAGTATGTTTTCTGAGCAGTCACCTCATAACAATATGGGACTGAAGTCGTAGTTCAATGGTAGAACGCCTGCCTCACAGGTTTAAAGCACTGGGTTTGATCTTCAGCACATAAAAATACATAAAACAAATTACAAAATAAATAAAATATAGAAAGCAATCAGGAAGTTTGACAGGACTTTGGGGAGACGGAGGACATGGGAGGTAGAGACAGAAAGGTGGGCAAGGGCCACCTGCCCACAATCATGCAGCCAGGAGTAGGCAGTACAAAGACAGCAGAAACCCACAAAGCAGCAATAATATACACCAGCAGCTGCCACATATTCACCTATTATCTAGGCTCTGTGTCAAGAAGGTCACAGTTACAATTTCATCTTCCTTCAACATTGTGATATGGTTGTTATCTCCATTTTATTTTCTTAATTTTTTAAAAATATTTTTTTAATGTCAATGAACCTTTATTTTATTTCTTTATATGCGGTGCTGAGAATCAAACCCAGTGCTTCACACATGCTAGGCAAGCACTTTACCACTGAGCCACCACCCCAGCCCCATGTTATCTCCATTTTATAAAAACAGATTTTTGTGCCTAAGGAGTTAAAGAGCACTTTTTTTTTCCCTTAAATTGCTGGTGTGCTAAGGGAATTCCTTCTACCTACTCTAAAGTAATTCCTTTCTGTGTTTCTGTGTCTCAGAATTTAGGAGACTAAAATCCTGTACGCCCTCCTCCCCAAGCCGCACTGCTGACATTTTAGAAATAATTATTCACTTCCTTGCCATAGTTTTGAGGGGGAATATGGAATAAGAATCCCACCTTAGTTAGGGAAAAGGAAGCAGAAGGCAAGATATGAGAGAATGCAGAGTAGAACCAAGTTGAGATGGGGCAGGTGACTGGACGAGAAGTGTTTAAAGGTGATTGAATGGGGGCTTATCCAGGAAGGTGGGTCTAGGCAGTGATTTGTAGAAACAAAATGCTTTTCCAGGAGTTGGAATCCGAAGAAACCCCAAGAACGCTCCAATATTGAGGGTAGAGCCAAGAACCAAGAGCAGCACCCAAGAGAGGAGGCAGCGGAAAGTGGGAAGAGCCTTATGCTCAAAGGGGGCGGAACTTCCGTGATGAGGCGGGGCTAGGGAGCAACCTGAGGGGACCAATAGGCGGGAACTGATGGGCGGGGCCAAAGAGCTTAGGGATGAACAGGGTGCGGCCCAAAGAAGGCTGGAATTGGAGTGGACAGGGCGAGCAGCTTCTCACCCGGTTCTGCACGGTGTCCTCGGGCGCCGTCAAGAGTCGTGTCCGCCGCCGGAGGCAGAGTGGTGGGGCAGGGGGCGGGGGGGACTGGGTTCTTCGCGCTGGAATTCCCCCCATGATAGATGGCAGCTTCTCGACTGCATCGTTCCGCGCGTAGCCTCCCGGCCCTAAGGCAGCCATCGTCGCATCGGAGACCAGCGACCGTTATGCTCTTTAACCGCCGCGGCCGCCACGACCCACTTGAAATAGTGAATAGCCGCGGGAAAGCCGGCGGCGCTGCCCATTGGACGCGGCAGCTTCCCTTCTGGCCAATCTCGGGGCGGCCGGACGGCGATCAGGACCAATAGGAGCTAAGAGGCGGAGCCAGAGTACCAGGCAGGGCGGGTCTGCAGCCAATCTATTCGGTTCTGATCAAGCATTTTGGGGCTTCTCGTTCAAACTGTTTTTCTCATTCTTTGGAATGTACAGTGATTAACTTGTACTAGGCTAAGGCCACAGCCCTCTCCTTTGCTTTTTGCTGCCACCGGGACGACTATCCGGTCTATGGCAGTCGCCCGATGTTGGTTTAGGGTGGAGCGGAAAGAGCCTGCCGGCCCAGAGGACTTGGTGGGCGCAGGCTCAGAAACCCTAGGACGCCGCCTTTCCCTAAACATGTGATGAAGGTTAGAGTGGCGTAGAACCGGCTTTGCGTAGATATACTTGCGTTTCCTCACCAACCATGTGACCAGGGTGTAGCAGTGGTAACGCGGAGGGACACCTGGTATGCAAGCCGGCTCAGCACACCACTGTCACATGACACCGAGGATGTCACGTGAGGCAGGAGGAGAGTGCTGGGGAGGGGCGGAAATCGGCTGCTCCCGGCGAGGAGTAAAGTGCGGACTCTGACCGAGCAAAAAGCAACCGGGTTGGACAGCCATGCCCAAGTACTGCAGGGCTCCGAACTGCTCTAACACTGCGGGCCAACTGGGATCAGACAACCGCCCAGTGAGCTTCTACAAGTGAGCGCAAGCGCGGGGCGGGGCTTTAGGGGGCGGGGCCTGTAAGGGGCGGGGCCCAAGGAGAAATGCAGCTGTTTTTGGCATCTGGTCTTGCAGGAGGGGTGTAGGAAGGTGAAAATGGGCGAAACAGCAGAGGTACACACAGGTAATGAACTGAACGAGTAGAAAAGGGAGACAGTGATGTAAGGAAAGGTGAAGTTCTATAACTTAAAATGTCCATTCTTCATCTCCACTCATTAGAGGCATCTCAACCTCAATATATCTGAAGCTGAGCTTCTTATATTATCTCCCTAAACCTTTCACAATCTTTCCTATCTTAATAGCTAACTCTGGAGGAGCTAAGTCATCTCAACACAGAAAAATAGCAGGGAGAACTGGAGATTGTAGCTCAGGGCCCTGGGTTGGATCCCCAACACCCGGGGGGAGGGGGAATGGAGAAAAGCGGTCTCAATTTATAGCCCAGGTTTAAAGCTTCAGAAAAGGGATATCCAGACCAAATATTCCACAGCTATCTAAATTTTAGTGCTTCCAAGGAGACGGGACCTAGTCCCACTTTGCAATCCAGACCTAATATTGATCCCTTT